TATATCTCCTTGTGTTTATGAAAGGGTATTATTCATTGCTCGGGGGACGGGGTGCACGGATGTAAGCGAATAAACGCGTCCCCGGGTAGTGGATAAAAAGTCAGTCCCCAATCCGTGACTAACAGTGAACAAGACGAATTGGGGTTCTCTCTGAATAAACGGCAGTGCAAGAAGACATGTACAATGAAAAAACCTTTGTGGCGAATGTGGCCCGTCACAGGTTACACCCACTGCTACTTGTCCAATTCCATTTTAAACAATATGATTATCCAGAAGGTACGAATGGACAACACAATTAACGATCAGCTCATACGGTACAACACTGTTGCCTTCCAATCGGTGAAAAGCTGCGCAAGGGGTCGAATGCATCATCGAACAAGGCCCACGGTGGATCAGGACACCGAATGGTACAACAATTTCGAAACACAAACAACGTATCACCATCATTGTACAGCAAAATACAGTGAGGCGAACTTCACTGATCGCTGCCAAACTCCTAATGCATACAAGGTTAGTGGTAAAATTCAAGGTGGACAGGGATTGGGTCTACTTTGAGGAGCTTTTGATAATCCGATTTTCAAATTTCTCGACAGAACTTCAGTCGACTGCACATTGAATGGTTCAGTGCTTCCGATGGGAGTATTGACCCTGTTTTCTCGTGTTCTGCTCCGACCAGCTTTCAGGCTCCACCGAACTCATCGGTTGATATTCTTCTTCGTCATCGATGCCCCTTCAAGCTAGCCAAATTTAACGTGCGAATACTAACAAATATGGGGCAATAAGCGTGTTGAGCTCATACGCTTGATACCTTAGGGATCGGTATGTTGTGTCTCCTAGAACAGCATTTAACCGATCACCAAGTTTTCACTGGGTCGAAGGATGCTGGCATCGACGTGGCTCTCAGTGAGAAATCTGAAATCTTGCGAGACCGGATTCAAGTCGACAGTCGATTGTGCATACTGAAACAGATTCATGCAAATTAAAGCTATTGCACGCTACCAGAAGCAACTTAGTTGTCGTGTCCCCCGCGTGCACTTACGAACTGCAGCGTAAATACAAAGATATACGGCCTCTTACAGAAAACGAGTCAGGCTAGCAGTATAAGAATGCTAGAGTAAGTTGTCTGTCTTCGAACGTATCAGCGATGAATCAGGATCGACCTGTCGCTATAAAGCAAATGGCGGGGTTCGCACTCAATACTGTCAATTATATTGCAGTATTTCATTTGAATCCAGTCCACTTCCTCTCGACTTCAACATTATCGTTTGACATGTAGTGTGTTAACAAATTGCTTTCTCACTACAGAACCATAGCAGACAAGAATTCGGGACATTCCGACTATGTCTTGATACTGCCTCGCAGTGCGCAGATTCGTGAAAAGACTAGCAAAGTAACGTAGATGCAAACTGCGCATAAATAAATGTGTTCAAATCTGATAGAGCAAATGAAAAAAAATAATCCACCAAAATTATCGTTATACTCGAGGATGGTGTCTGAAAAGTCTGCCGATCGTGTTAACCTCGAGCGACGGTGAACTTGAGAAGTCAAGTCTATCAAAACTAGATAAACATATTGAGCTGAATAATTTGCAGCTACTGTCGAAAATAGGATGATGAATCAAAATAACTCAAGATATCTAAGTGTGTACTGACCGTTTATGAACATCAGGTGAAGCAATCCAAACGTGAAATCCTCCTATTCGATGGTAACCCGAAATATTCTTGCAGTTTTGTCAATCAGTTTCATTCACTGATCGAGAAAACGGCAAGGGATAGTGACACCTACCGCACCGATCCCATCCTGTAATTTGAAGATGAGGCAAAGGAAATTAGCCATTATTGCATGATCGTGGAGCCTGAGGAAGGCCTCAAGCGGACCAAAGAAATACTGGAAAGGTTTGGTCATTGATGGCTTGACTGATAGTCATCCGACAAGATCCCATGACACCAGAGCATTAACTCTCAGCCAGCAGATGCAAGCCTCAGACAAATGAGTGCTTGTCGAATTTGGGTTCCGGTCGAACAATTGAAGCGATCGTAACCAAACTGTCTTCTCAATTGCGCTTTAGATGAGCAGAAGTCACCACCAACTTGATAAAACAATAGAACGAGTCGCGGTTCGGAGTTGATTGAAGAGCATGTTGATATTGCATGGAGTCGCTTTGGAGAATTGGGTCTTGTTCTGTCGGGGCATCCACACTACAGTGAGTGTATAATTAAAAAGCATTGACAAGGAAACCACAAACCGACGCACTATCCACGGGGAAGACTACTACCTGAAGTTCTCTAACTTCGATGTGGAGAAAAAACTGGTATTAGTCCAAGGAAACTTGTCATCAGCGTCTCAAAGCATATCACAGCGAAAGACTGCAAGTGGATTCGTGAGTGCACCGTAAAAGGACGCGGCAGACATCATAGAGCCCTTTACTTGGATGGTGATACGTCCTATGCTTAATCGAGAATCAATAACAGTAACCCGGTCAGAAGCAATAATTTTTCGACCGCGGCTCTTGCCGCGAATCCTATGACGATCCTTTTAGGTCAAGGAACCCGACAACCGTTGATCGACGGTGCGTATGGCGTAGCTCGAGGACTTGACACAGAGTGAAGATTTGGTCGGTATAACCGCGACCTGGTCGAAATCCTGTTTGTTGTTCACGGATTTTTGTCTCCTTAAACGGTATCAGACGTCGAAGTATGATGGAGGATAGTAACTTGGTGACGATTGGGATCAAACTTATTCCACGTTGGTGTGCGCAGTCGTTGCGAGATCCCTTCTTAAAAATCGGAACGGTCAGTGATTCGCTCCACGATGATGGAATGCCTTCCCATACTGCATCAAAACTAGGGTATTTTCGGACTGACCAGGATGACTAACAAACTTAATCGCAAGTAAGATCGCCATCCAGCATTTTGCTACTCATCTGTAAACCCCCATGGTTACAAGGGCCTGCTGTTCACTCATGGGAACCAGGTAAACTAAGCGCCCCGGGACTTGGAGTGGTGAACCACATAAAGCCTCGCCGGGTTAGGAGTGGCATTGAACCGGGCGGTAGTGAAGTAGCTGCAAACCGACCTGTCCAATCGTTAATTGTCTGTATTATTCTTGACATGTGTTTCTTAAACAGCTGGAGTTGCATCGTTAAGGTGACACTGTTTGCAGATGAGTAGCAAAATGCTGGATGGCGATCTTACTTGCGATTAAGTTTGTTAGTCATCCTGGTCAGTCCGAAAATACCCTAGTTTTGATGCAGTATGGGAAGGCATTCCATCATCGTGGAGCGAATCACTGACCGTTCCGATTTTTAAGAAGGGATCTCGCAACGACTGCGCACACCAACGTGGAATAAGTTTGATCCCAATCGTCACCAAGTTACTATCCTCCATCATACTTCGACGTCTGATACCGTTTAAGGAGACAAAAATCCGTGAACAACAAACAGGATTTCGACCAGGTCGCGGTTATACCGACCAAATCTTCACTCTGTGTCAAGTCCTCGAGCTACGCCATACGCACCGTCGATCAACGGTTGTCGGGTTCCTTGACCTAAAAGGAGCTTTCGTCTTAGTTGACCGCGAATCCGTTATGAGTTTACTCCTTCGCAAAGGAATGCCGCAGAATTATATGAGCATACTGAGTTTACTCTACTCACATACTTCCGGTAGTGTAAGGGTATACGGCGAGCTGAGTAGGTCGTTCGTAACTGGTAACGGGGTTCGTCAAGGGTGCCCTCTTTCGTCATAGACGAAATACTGGAGAACACACTAAGTGGTCTCTGAAATGTGGGTAGTGGACGGACAGGTGGAGAAAAGCTATGCGACTACGCTGACAACATCATTTGCCTTTTTGAATCTGTGGAGGACGCGCAAATAGCACCTGATAGATTAACAAGTTCTGTCGCTCCGTTTGGCATTTGCTTTGCATCTTCGAAGTACAAAGTGATGCTACAAGACTGGGTGTTGCCGAGTTCTGCTCTGAAACTAGACGGTCAGAAATTAGCTGAAGTTGACTGCTTGTCGTACTTAGGTAGCTGCGTGACCAACGACTGTAGCGCATTATAGGAGATAACCGCCCGCTTTTCAAAGGTTCGAGCAGCGCACGCGGTACTGAAATACCTGTGGCGACGACGTGATATTTCGTTGAAGTTGAAAAGTCGCATATAATGTGCCACTGTGCGATCAGTTCTGCTTTACGGTTGAGACAAACTTGCGGGTAGAAGACATCCGTCACCTAGTGACTTTCGAGAATCGATGCTTACGTAGTCTGGCCCAAGTGGGATGGAATGAGCGGGTTATTCACCTAGAAGTAAGTCGTCGGGTATTTGGGAATGCATCGAACACGAAGTCGCTAGCGCAGCGAATCCAGCTCAATAGGCTTCGTTGGTTAGGACACGTGTTACGACGGTCGCCTTCCACAGCGCGCCTTATTTGCAGTAGACGTTGCAGGCTGGAAAAAACCTCATGGAGGCCAGCAGATTACGTGGAGACGAGGCATGAAGAAATGCAGAGTGATTAGGTGGAACAGGTGTCTCTAGTCTTCCGGGTTGGGGGTGAAAGGACTCCGAAACCGCGTGGTTGGAGACACTGAAGGGCATGGCTGCGAACCGACAGTAATGGCGATCTTGCTATCACTTCTTATCAGACCAGAATGCTTGAAATAGTATGTATGCAAAGTTGGACTGTGTACTCTGTGTTGACCATAGAGGTTCGCTTTCTTTTTCCGTCCCTAAAATTAAGTCCAATCCATTTTCTCCCTAAATATTCTCACTTACCTTGGCAGCGATCAGTGAAGTTCGTTTCACTGTATTACGCTGTACAATGATGATGATGCACGAGTATGGGAATGACAAAATAATCAAGTTTCAAAATAAATGAAGCCAGCAAACAATCTCCCCATACGCATGGAATGAAACAGAATACATCACGAACAATGTCAAATAATTTCTTATTTTACGAACAACTCATTCACAGCAGCAGGTAATCAGAATGAAAATCCATTCATCAACGATTCAAGGTGTACGTCGGAACATCACTGCCTTTAATCAACCGTCGTTCCACACCGTCAGAGGTGATGATAGCAAGTCGGACACAGCCTCCACTTGAACCATCTCGGTTAATAGCCAGCGAAACACCTTGAAAATTGATGCGAGGGAAATGAATCAAATTTTACCAACTGCAAAACTTCAACAGACAAGCGTGAAGGGCTTAAAAATTTTCTATGAGTAAAAAGCAGTAGTTGAAACGATAGACACATACAGAAGTTGGGAAGAAAGGGTTTGCATTTTGAAGCAAGAAATTTGGCGAAAGGGAATGAAGAAAAAATTTACGTGGATGATTATTGTTATTGGGGACAGAATTAACATTGAAAATCTTAACCATCATGTTAATGATTGTAGAGCGCTCCGCGAAAATTCTTTACGGGTTTGATGAAATGTAAATCCAACTGCGGACACAAACTAGTCGGCACTTTATGAGCCACGAAAAACCCTAAAATTAACGTTGATAAAGATGTGCCCCATGAGCATATCTTTTGCGTCTACGTGTATTGATAACATTAACCATCTGCGCGCATGTACCTTAGCCATATCTGGACTTCGTTTTTTATCGGATCCGAACCATCTAGTTGATTAGGGCACGTTAACTTTCACTATAAGCTGCTCTCTCTCTGCTCTACGGATATACTACAGACATTTATCACTGGATTGCGGGCAAGCTTGATGCCAAAGCAACAAGAATAACAGAAAAGGAGGGTTAGAATACAAAGTAGCGAAAAAAGGAAGCCGGACAGTTAAGCTGAATAACGAGAATGAAAGTTTTTGTTTCAGCGTACACTTGATATTTTTCTGTTTCAGTTTATTTTTTATGAGGAACGGAATTTCAACAGACCGTACGACGTTTGCGCCACTGACTTCTACTCTGGGGCATATCTCTCGGCGTCTCTAACCAACAACAATCTCGATCCGTTAGGCCTCAAACTGGAAGGCGGGATGCACCAACCGAAGGCAGTTTCTTTATACCTCTATGCCACGGTGCCTCTTTCGACCTTGCCCAGCAAGTGCAAAGTGAGCACGGAAAGGTATTCGACGGACAGGCATAAGCAACACGTAACCAAGCCATCGGAGACAGTGTAGAGCAATTACTTCGGTTAGAGAGCGACTATCTACACCTAACACGATGACAAACCCAGTCACTGTTCACCGGACGTTCCCACCAGACACGAGCAATACTTCGGAGAAATCGGTGATCGAATACAGAAAATCGATTAGCACCAGGTCTCGCAGCCGTAAAATAGAACACCACGAGTCGCGGAGAGCTACACCCTTCCCTTAAGAGACAGTCGGATGTCGTGGCGACACCACCGATGTTACAGATTGGCGAAAGCTCCTCTACCTTTTGCTATTCGTGATGTGATCTCGTCCCCAACACCACCACAAGCTGTGATCAAGCTCCCGAGGTACTTAAAGCTCTCAACTACTTCCAGCCGAATATCACAGAGGGTGAGTGCAGGCACACACTCCTACTAATCTTGTACAAGCACTTGGCATTTGGATGGAGCAAAGAACATTCCATACCTGGATTGACGTGGACAGCCTCAATGCTGCATTCATTTGTCCTCCGAATGATTTCGTCTCCGTACTCCACAGATCACCTATCTACCATAAACCCAGTCACCCATGAGGAGATCTATCATCTTCTTAAAACTACAAAGACCACGAACGCAGTTGGCCCCGATGGTCTATCTTCGCCATTGCTCAAATACGGCGCTAGCTCAGTCACAGAGATGTTTACGTCCTTATTAACCAATCCATCTTTACATGTTCAATTCCAAATTCCTGGAGACCGTTCACGATTGGTCCTATTCCTAAACCCTCTTCATCTAGCATTTTATCTAAACGCTTTCGTCCTATCGCCATCACCTCCTCTGAACTTAAACCTGCAGAGCGTGCTATTCTTACCCGCTTGCAATCTAGTATTATTGTTCCCAATGACCCTCTCCAGTTTGCATACAAGCCAAATAGATGCACTTTGGATGTATCTCTTCAATGATGCACTTTGTTTGCAAATCTTTAGATAGTTCTTAAAAGTCGGTTCGTTGTGTTTTCCTTGACTATTTCTCGGCTTTCGATTCCGTTCCACGATCACTTCTTCTGCAGAAGTTACAGGCATTCGGTTGCCCCATCAACTTATTATAATGGTCGACAGATTATTTCACAGGAAGGATTCAAAGAACGAAAGCAAACGGCACTATTTCAAAATCGTTAGGAATAATTCTGGAGTCCTTCAGGGTGCTGTGCTTTCTACCTTCTTATTTTCAACTTTCATCAGTGACTTATCCTCAATTCCATCAGCCAAGACCTTTAAGCATGCTGATGATGTGGCCTTATGTCAAGCCATTTCAAACCAATCGGACATAGAATCATTCTCCGACAGTTTACTACAAGTGCAATCATTCTCGAATCAATCCGGCGTCTGGTTGAATACTTCTAAATGCTTTGAATGCATTTTTGGTCTTTCCCGATCTGATTACCCCTTGGAACCCTCAGTCAACAACTCCGTACCCGTCACCAGAACACATACCACCAAATACCTAGGAGTCACCGTAGACAGCAATCTACGGTGATCCTCTCATGTGCTTGCTTGTGTGGGTAAGCTGCGTCGCTTATCTTTTCAAATACGCAAACTACGAAAATTCTGCGTCAGGCATGAAACTGTATGTTCCTTTGTTTATCAATGCATTTTTCCTGTCATACTTTATTGCTCGCCCGTTATTTTCCCTGGACTACTTAAAAAGGATTTCATCACTCTATGTCGGGGTTTGGTAATTATTAGCCGTGTTTCTCTTATTCCTTTTAACACTGATCACAAAATTGTGTAATTTGCATATCACTTCATGTGAGAATTTCGCTCATAAGATACTCAATGACCCCAGTCATCCGCTCGATCCCGATTTGTCTGCTTGCCGTTCCCACGCTACAATCCGATCCAATTTTCGCTGCTTACCCTCGCGCATAAACACTTATCGCAACTCAACGGTTCTCTATCTGGCTCGTATTCTCATTGACACGGTGAGGATCCGTAACGAACTAATCTTAAATCTACAAAGATGAACACCTATTTAGTTTTAACATTGTTCTATACGAATTTTCATTCCATTTTTGTTATCCCATTGTAACGGTGCACACAGTTGCACAGTTGCCTGCCCAAGTAATCTATAATACAATACAATATCTCGATCATCAAGCAGTTCGAAGCCTGTTGGATTGCTTATGTTGTCACCTAGCAAGGCGATATCATAGGCA